AGATACAATTCTGTTATAGACAGAACTTGTAGCAGCAGGGTTTGTTCAGCATGTGTTTGAGAAAGCAGTGAGAAAAGAGAAAGTTTCTAGCAGAATGATTTCCGCCCAAGAGCTCAAGGTTCAGAGGAGCCGGCACAGAGCAAGACGTGTGCAGCTGCCAACGCCACCTGTGCAGGACTCATTAAAGGTTTAACAGAGGATCACGTGTGCCCTGAACATGGCTGACAACTGCCAAGCCTAACACACACCTCACAAACTTTGGGAAAAGGCAGAGAAATGGAGCTGCCTTTGGACGAGGAGGATGGCACCTTCACCAGCATTTCTTTGGCAGACGACTCAGGTAAGAGACTGCAGCACTCTGTTGATACAATGCAAATTCCACAGGCTGAATAACAGCACTGTGAGAGCAGGAAAGGTTGTCCCGATCACCAGGTACAAGGTATTTCTGGCAAATACCCTCAAACAAACTTTTGTTAGTTGCGTGGTTTGAGTTAGCCTTTTGATGAGCTAAGAATTGAGGGTTTGGGGGAATGGAGGCTACGAGGCTACCCCAGTTTTCATATATTAGCCCTGGGTGATATACATTCCTCATCTGAGCACATAGAGCCTTTCTCTGGTTAGAGAGACACTGTTACACAAGTATTTACTCAGTAGTTACTACTATCAAATAAAATACAGATAATGCTGTATACAGAATAACAAACCTCTGACTTATGCTAGTGAAAACGCACAAGAAGTGATGGAAGTTAATTGGCAATGGAAATAAGGTGATATTTTAAATCCTCACTGTTAGGCATTTAATTGTTTGAAAGAAACTACAAAAGCACAGTCTGCCTATCCCTCCACCATCCTCCTCTCCACTTATAGAATAAAATTACTTGGAAGGGGAAGTTGGAGAGTCCTACACAGTGGAAAAATGAAGTGAGTTAATATGAATTAATAATAAATTATTTAGAAAGGTCTGCCCAGAGTATCAACTTGATTATGTCAGCAGGGCTGCCAAAGAGGTGTGCTAATTCACACTGCTAGGTTTCTGGAGGGCTTCTTTGAACAATAGAAGCTACATTTCCTTCCCCTCATTTTTTTTAAAGAATGTTATTGTGCATGCTGCATTTACCTCCCATATTTTAAAATTTTCTATTAGCAATTCTATATCAGTGTGATGGGGCTGAGCTGGATGTTTGAACACACTTTCTTTGTACATCATCTAGGGCTACTGACACCAAGATGTGGCTGGCCCAAGCTATTCTCAAGAAGACAATTTGTCAGAGCTTGGTCTATTTGTGAAGTATGCAGGTATTAAAATAAAACATGTAAATTAAGACAAACACAAAATGGTAGCAAGATAGAAACTTACTGGAAAGTATTTTAATAGCAACATTAACAGCACATGAAATCAAGCAAAACATGTGAAAATATTTTCACCTTTAATGAAAGAAATATCTTTCATTGTAGAAACTCAAAGCACTGGATAAAGTTCCCTCAAAAAATGACCAATCTAAACAGAGCACATCAAACCAAAAGTAAAACAAAACACTGAAATGTTGTCCAACATCTGCAAAAATTTCTTTGCTGTACTTCCAATTAATGTTGAATAAGCAGATCAAGGCCCCCTTTGCTCATTGAAGAGTACCTAGAAATTATCTTACTAAGGTTATTTAAGGTTATTCTGAAAGAGTAATAAGAATTGCAGAGAATTTGGTGTAAAGCAACATTACATGAAAAAAGAACCTCAGAGTGTGTTATTTCTGCAAATATGCAAAAGAATGAAGATTTGGTGCAAATGGTCTCAACAGTTAGCAATGCAAGGAAAAGCACTTAAGCCACTCGTGTTCCTTTCTGTCTACTTCTTTGTGGCAGTAATTAGTCAAAGGAGCAAACAGTGCAGTTGCAACAGCAAAGTCATCTCAGCAATGGTTACAATGCCTGCCTGTGTTAGTGCATAACAGGATCCATTTCCATTGTGGTGGGGAACAGTGCAGCCTCTGTCAGCTCTGCTGCCTGGAACATTGCCACAAGGGAAGCCAGAGCCTTGCTGGTGTGCACCGTGTGCCATGGGAAAACAGCATGTAAAACTGAGCTTCAGAAATAAAATGTCTGAAAATGTTTGTCGTTAGCAGCAATGACTGAGAGTCTGAGTGCAGAGCAATGAAATCCTCTCCTCAGTTTGTAACTTTACCTGTATATGAACTCAGGTAAACTATTAATGATGTATTTTATCCTAGGGAGGCTGTTTTATTTCAAACAAAAATTGCTCTTTCAGTGAAACTGAATAGATTAATTCCTTTTGCCAATGGCATCTTAGAAACTCTAACCAGAACTTAGGATACAAGTATGTACAGACAGCTGCATTTGTAAACTGAAACTTGTTGCTATTAATCTAATATAATGACAATACCAGAATGCCTCCTCTAATTTAACTAAATGCCTTAGAAAATAGTCTGGGGTTGTTGTGACCCAAGTGCAGGACCTGCCAGATCAACACTCCCACCCAACCTGGTATCATAATATGCATAGGTGCCTTCCCTGGGACACATTCTGTGTTATAAAAGGAATCTGATTGCTGGGGATACTTCCTAAGTCCCTAGAGCTTTACATTTAAAGTCCACACAATTTTAAATATATTATGCAATGCAAGACAGGTGAGGTAAAGAATTTTAAAAGGCAGTAGGTAAATCATGATAACGTTAAGCTTCTGGTTTCTTGGTTGATCTCTCATACAAGAATACTTTGGGCTGTGGACCTTTATTTTGTGATATATTTGGTTTGGGCATTTTTGCATTTGTGTTTTGGGGTTTTTGAGTGTGTGCATGTTTTTTGGTGTTTGTTTAAAAGTAGTGGTGCACTGGATATTTAGAATTCTGGAGTTGCCTTCTTTGCCCTGGAATACAGAAGAAGGGTTAGGAATGCCAGCCTTTTTAGGGGAGCACAGGATGATCTAGGCATTCTCTCTGTGGAATTTGCACCCAGCAGTACCAATCCAAACCTCTTGGTCCCTGGACTGTTCAAAGCTAACCTCATAACCCACAGCACTCTGCAGACCAGACACATCATCTGTTCTCTGCTGATAACGTCTCTGCAACGCCAACAGTGGGAGCTCAGAACAACAGCTTTCTCTGTAGGAAAACAAAAAAAAAACTCTCACAGAGGCTGATTTCTGCAAAGGTGCTCATCCTGGTGCTCATGCTTAGAGTTCAGAATCAAAAGAAAGTACTACAGTGAGAAACCACAGCCAGGCAAAGCAGAATGAACCCCAACGGTACACATACCAAAAAGGAAACAGGAGGTAAACCAGCAGCTCTTGAAATTACTACTGTTTAGCTACAGCAGCACAGGAGCCAATATGTCTGGTTTCCATTCTGTCCTCTAATTTAACATCAAGGATTTCCCCATTTTGCTCATTTTGGGACAGTTCTGACAACAATCTGCAACTGTAATGCAGCAAGAAAAGTGGAATTTCTGCAGCAGAGGGGTGCATTTCCTCAAGATTAGCCCACAATCTTTTCCCCCCTCTTACAGTATAAAAACACAGCACATCCTTTACCAGGTAAGCAGGGTCTCCCTCCATTTGTACACACCTGGAGAATATGGCCATAATTTTTTCCCCTGTTGATGCAAGTGCTGGAGATTGTCTCATTAGAAAGAATTAGGAGAACCTGTTGATTGCCAGGTTTGCCAGTGCAGCAAGCAAGATTGAAACAGCGCAAGCATTAAATCTGGCATTTAAAAACAGCAATCAAGGAAACTTTCCAACAGGCTCCTAAAGCCCAGCCACCACTTGAGAAGACTGCTTGCAAGAAATAAGGAGGAATTGCTGTGTTGAAAATGCCCTTTGTAGAGACGTTTAACTAAACCAGCTAATGGAACTGGAAATGGGTGCATTTTCCACTACCGATGGATAGCAAGACTCTAATTGCAGTACATTTTCAGACCTTGAAAAGCATTCAGTCTAATCTGAATTTATCTGATTGTAAGGTTAAAAAAAGTCATTGACACAATAACAGCGTGGAGGCAGCCAGATGATGTTAGAAATAGACGCTTTCTGAAGTGTGTTTAAAAATACAGTAGAGGGCTCACTTCCCAAATGCCTTTATCTTCCTGAGTGTCTACACAGCACTGAATTATGTATTTACAGCTAGATGTATTACTGCAATTTACAGATACCATATGAATATATTTCAATGCAACATACAGTTCAAGCTACATAGTACTACAAGTTATGCAGTGCAGTCCCTTCAGTGAAGCCACCAAAATTAGCTCAGGTCATAAATGTTTTCCATTGCTTTGCCGTGGCTCACAGACTGTGCTGTGACATTCTGTGAGGGTTATTCCAGCCAGGGAAAGAACAATGACACAGGAGTGTTGTTCGGGAGCTGCTGAGTTATTAGGTGAGAGCAGCTCCGCGAAGTTACTGAGGTGATGTGTGATGTGATGTCAGGGCTGTGAGACCCAGCGGCACGGAGCTAACCACAAGTGTCCTACTCTGGACCCTGCTGAGGAAAGGTTTCTGACGTGCCCGAGTGGAAGCAGCTGGGCCGGGCGTACAGGGACTGAATGCGGCAGGGAAAGCCGCTGCAGCCCGTCTGGGAGGCTGCTTTCTCCCGGAGCCCACATACAGCACCGGGGAGCTGTTAGCACCCACACACGCGCTGCTTCCTCGGACCTGCCTCAGGCTCTGCCAACCCCTAAATCTGAGGGGTTCCACATCGGGGAACAAATGCCTTTTCTTAATCTCTTCGGAACACTAGGGAGAGCGACCGGCCATTGAGGACCGCTGCTCTGAACACTGGCGGCGTAAGGAATGGAAGGAATGGATCAGAACCATTGGATCTCACTGGCCGCCCAGCAGGATGTGCCGTAAGGGGCACGGCTGGCCCATGAGCACAGCAATAATGGATCAGAACCATTGGATCTCACTGACCGCCCAGCGGGACGTACCCGGAGGGGCGGGGCCATAGCGCTCCCGCCCCGCCCCCGCGCGGCGCAGGCGCATTGGCGGCGGAGCGCGGAGCGGGCCGGGCCGAGCCGGGCGAGGGCAGAGCCCGCGAGAGGCGGCGGCGGCAGCGGGGCAGGTGCGGGTTAGGAGGAAGGGAAGGAAGGGGAGGAGGGAGCGCTGGGAGTGCCGAGCCAGGCCGGGAGCGCACGGTGGGATGCGCGGGCGGGGCCGGGCGGCTGCCGGCCGGTGCTGCGGGGCCGCCCCTCTGCAGTGCTGCCAGCCCCGGCCGGCGCTCCCGGGCCGCGGTGCTGCTGTTCCCGCAGCGGCCCCGGCCCGCAGCTCCGGGCGGGGATGGGAGCGGGGTGCCAGGCCCCGAGGCGAACAGCCCCGTGTCGCAGGCCCCTACACCGGCCCGGGGTGTTTGGGGGACAGCGCAGAGCCATTCCAGCTTTCGGGAATAGCCGCTCTAGAATAACCCGTTCCACAATGATGCCAGCTGAGAGGGCGACGATTACATCATTGGAACGGCGGCATTTCATGCTTTGCAGTAATCTAGATCAGTTATTTTTGTAAACAGTGTCATAGTTACTCAACGAACCGTAGGGATGTACAGCGTGAGGCCTAGGAAAAATAATTTAAGAATGGTGAAAAAGGTTGCTCTGCCTTAGGCTAAAGCACTGACCCTTCAGAATTAGACAAATACATCTAAAATTCAAATATAATGGAAGTTCCAGTAATTGCTGCCTCCATTTTTTTTCTTTAAGCAGAGTACCGCTCAAGAAAACGCTATTCAAAAGTGGAAGGAACCCCTGCCACAATGATGAACGCCGATATGGATGGTATAAATTCTTAATGTTCTTGCTCTTCATTGGTATTCTGTTTAGTATAATTTCTAACTGTTAACACAGGTTGCACTAAAATTCTCATGCTTTATTGCAGCTGTTGAGGCTGAGAATCAGGTGGAATTAGAAGAGAAAACACGGCTTATTAATCAAGTTTTGGAACTGCAGCACACGCTTGAAGGTTAGCAGCTTGATGTACCAGATTTTTTACAAGTACGCAGTAATAAGCAAAAGAAGAGAACCTGACAGCTCTGCCCTTAGTCACAGTGTCCAGAAGTATATCACTTAATGCAGTTGAAGGTACAAAACCAAGGTCATGGAAATAGTTTTGTTCTTCCTCTTTATGCAACATTACATTTGCTCAACGTTGGTAGTACACAGCAAGTAGAACAGGTGATGCAGCTAATAATGTGCTTATTAGAAGACACATATCTGAGGCTGCTCATCACTGAACTCTTATTTCCAAGTAATTTGGTTTGCAATAGCTTAATTCAAAAATTCAGGAAAGTAATAAGCTTACAGACTAGCATTCAGTTTAACAAGTGGGTCAAAATACTGTACTACAAAATAATAGAGGAAAATGCTGTTTAGGTAAAACACAAATAGGAAAATGTTTTGTAACTTAATACCCTCTGGTAATGCCTTCTGGATTAAAGGTGTAACTAGTATGATGTAGGCCCATAGAACATGTTCATTATTGTTCACAACAGTGTCTAACATTCTTCTTATAATATCACCTTCGCAGATCTCTCAGCACGAGTAGATGCTGTTAAGGAAGAAAACTTGAAACTGAAATCAGAAAACCAAGTTCTTGGACAGTATATAGAAAATCTGATGTCAGCATCTAGTGTTTTCCAAACAACTGACACAAAAAGCAAAAGGAAGTAAGGGTGGGCTCAGATTATGTCATTGTATTGCTGCTGGTTTTTTTGCTTTGTTTTAACTGGCATAGGCTACATAAGCTAAAATACTTTAGTTTGTGGCTTACTGGATCCTCAGAGATTATAGACTTTGATAATAAATGGAATTAAGAGCATTATCATGAACAGGAGACAGAAGATTGTGTATTAAGATTAAGCAATGCGCAAATGTAGTGTAGATAATTACAAAATTTCTGTATTTGTTTTAAAAATTACCGTATCTTGTTAAAAAGAAGATTAGTTTGTGAGGTTAAACAACGGTCTGTTGGTACTCTGAGGTCTTAGGGTAGATTTCTTGACTATATTGTGTTAAAATACTGTGTTGAAACCCCATTTGATAAAAATATTCAGAGTTTACTGCATCACTTTTTTGCACCTGAGATGTGTTTACTGCATAGTACTGTTCATAGTTCTGAAAACAAAACAAAAACCTATAAACCAGTTAAGCATTTCTGTGAAGTAGGAACAGTATGACATTGTTTGCAGGGCTTACTTACAGAAAAACACCTCAGCTGTTTTTGGGAAGGGGGAAGGTAAGAGGAGCCACAAGGGTAAGCAACTTTTCAGGGCAATACCAAACTGATGCAGTTATCAGATGTAATATGTATGCCTGAAACCATTGCTACTTTCCCATTTTCCTGAAGAATGCCCAGGCACATCATCACAATGTATGATCTTCCTGAAGTTCTGTTGTATGAGGAAAAGTTAAGTAAAAACCTGAGTGATAAACTTTGCAAGAGGTGGTCAGCAATGCTGCTCATGCTTGTGAGCAGTGCAGTGAGGAACTGAGAACAAGTCTTTTCCTTCCTGCCTTTGCTGTCCTCCTGCAGTGCCAAACTTGTCTTTGCTTCGGGCCTCAGAGCAGCTGTTTTCCTGCCTCAGAACTACACTTGCAAAGTGCTTCCTGAGGCACTGCACAAAAACATCTAAAGCACAAGGATGCAGTGGAACAGAGGTGGATTTTGCCTTTCAAAACTGTGCTGCTCTGGTGTCAAGGTGCTGGTTGTTCCTGTCTTGGATGTTGTTAGGTTTTGTAGGGGAGCTCAGCCCAGATGATGGGTCTGAGCACTTCCCACAGAAGCAGCATGTCCAGCACAGTCAGTATTAAGGGAGGGCAGAAGATGAAATACAAACAACTGTGTAAATTTTAGCAGTACTTAGTTGCACCTGTTTCATCTTGCCCTACAGACTTACTTATGGGTGTTGGCTAGGGCTGAGTTGCTGCTTCAGTAATGAAGCCATTTTGCTTGACCTTTTTAAAGGAAACCTCTAGTTCAAGGATCTCCCTCAAGCATGGTGTGAATGAGTCAGTGTAATAGAATAACAAATCCCTCTCAAATCCCAAGTTTCTTAGCTAGGTACTGCTGTATCTCAAGTGTAAGTTGACATTGTGAGGTTCCCCCCTCCCAAAGGTGAGGTTGCCAGTTTCTCCCCATTTAAAATGGTTGTACAATGCTCACCAGAGTCAAAAGACACTAAACAAAGTCAAAAGACTGCAAACAAAGCACTAATAGTACAGTCTTGAGGGCTGGTTAAATGTCTGGGTCAGGAAACCCAGTGAATAAAAAGTGAATGATACCATTTGTGTCATGGGGTCCTTGCCAACACCTAAAATTAATTCTTATCTTCTATAGACTACTTTCTCACATTACTGGAACTCTAAATTAATCCAAGAATTGCTAGCAGGTAGAGTAGATCACATGGCTAGTCCAGAGTTTGAGCATTAAAGGAAGAAAAATCCCAGCAAGCACTTGACTTGACAAATGAAGATTGCATTGCATTCCAGCCACCGTAGCTTTCAAGCCACACCACTGTCACCTCCATGTGCACTGCAGGTCACCTGGGAACACAGCATGCGCTTGTTAGGCTGCAGCAATTCCAGAATAAGGTAATTTTCAAATCATGGTTTGTATTGTACATTGGATAGTGGTATTTTACCCATCAGTGTGTATACAGCAGTTATTTCATCTCCATGCCATTTGACATCCCACTACTGTGGCCTTCATTTAATTTATGAACATTTTAAAGATGTTGTATTTCTGACTTTACACCAAATAAAAACTTTTAATTTGTCTCAATTAGTTTGGTTTAACATTTGTAAACCCTAAAACTTCTCATAAATATCTGTAGTCAAAAGGTGAAAAAGCAGTAGGGTTAGTAATCTTAAAGGTTTTGACACAGCTGAATTGTCTGAAAAACCAGATGTATTTGATATTAAACCTGAGTTAATGAATGTGGTTTTAACAAAGCTTCAGTTCCTGACTCCCTTGCTATTTTCAGCCATCAGTCTTAAATTTGTCTACTTTTCTGTTCTTATTAAAGTAAAAGGATTGGTAGACTGCATCCACTGTTGTAAAAAAGTTCAAACTTGCACTTCTCCATGTTTCAGCAAGAGGAGACTGCTAAGCCAAGTTAGAAATGTTACTTTGTCCTACACTTTTAGTGAGCTTTACATTAGACAGAACCCAGAATTATTACTTCATCAATGTAGATGCCAACTGAAGAGTAGCTTCAACTGGAATTAATAAAAGGGCCTCAGTCCTACTTGGCCTTCCCTGCATATCAGGTGTTCAGTCTGGGATCTGGCATCCTCAGTAAGAGCTCTTTTACCAAGCTACAGCAGAGTCACAGGGAGTGCAGCCTCTAGAGGTCTTGCTACTTACAGAGGTCCAAAGATGACTGACAGTTTTAATAGCAAGGCATGCTGGAACTGAAAATCATTAGTTTTTGAAATTTTAAGATCTTTCAAGCGACCATGACAGCAAGATGAACCATGTTTCCTGAAATACCTGTTCAGATAAAAATGGACAGTGCACAGGAAGTGTGTGAAATCTCACTGTTGTATTGTGTCAATGGACAGGGGTTGCCCTTTTGCTTGGCTTTCCACCTCACAGCCTTAAATCCTCAACATCTCTGGTATTTCTGCTCTAATTACCAGCATAAATCTAGATCCAAGTCAGCTCATGTGCAGAAGGATGTATGCTATCTCTAGATTCTAGGTGATCAAAGCTCATGGGGTGTCAGTCAAGACTTTATGGGAACTTTAAATTCAGAACCCTAAAGGAAGACGAGAATCCCCCATGGGGTGGCCAATCCCTGGACTAACTAAATCACATCAAAGAAATGACAGTAACTTATCACTTATCAGAGAAAAAAACCCTCCAAAACCCCTAAGAAAACAAACAAACCAGCCCCCCAGGACACCCAAATGCTGCAACAATTCCAAAGGACTTCTATCAAACTCAGACATAATTCATGTAAAAGGTGTCAGCAGGGTACTACACTGCTAAGAGATTCTGTCTATTGCTGAGGAGTGACCTGGAGTCTTCCACTTCTTACCTTTTGCACAGAGGCCCTAAATAAAGAGGTGGGAACGGCAATAAACTTAAAGAAGACACAAAAAGCCCAAAATTAAACAAAAACCTAGAGACATTTCCATGTAATTCACACCAAATAGAAGTCAAATATCATTAACTTTTGAACACTTCAAAACAAGCACTTGAGGACACTTCCTTCTTCATCAGAGTTAGGCAATAATTCATTTCTTACAGACTTCTGTGGAATCTGCTGTGAAAAATACTTCTTTTTAAAGCAGACAAATTTTATGACAGGCACAAGAAAATCTGTTAGATTACTTATGAATTAGTGTATTTCTACTTTGTAATGTATGATACTTTTGCTAGCATTTACACATTCTACCACTACTACAGGCAGCTGCCAAGCAGCAAGAGGTTTCTGGTGACTGAAATTTTATTGTTTAATATACAGCTGAACTTCAATGAAACAATGTTTCTTTACAATAAGCAGTTTATTTAAACTATGAGAATACCCAAGTTACTCACATCGTAAAAAACTTAATCCATCAAAAATTCTTATCTATATTAATAAATTTTATATTAAGCAAGAATTAATAAATATTTTAGGTGACAATATACACGTAGCAAGTATTCTATAAACAGGTTATACCACTCTGGTTTGGAACATGAGAACTATAAAAGTTTGAAAAAATCATCTGTATATGACCTGCAGATTTGATACCTGCATTCAAGAGTAAAACAAACCACATCAATTACCACTTGTATTCTATTTTAAAATATATCTTGAAAATAAATTACTGCAACCAATGCCTAAAGTGAACAGGTGACCACCCATGTAACAAGATCAACTAAAATAAATAATTTACAATAAAAATCGTCCCTAGCACAAAATCATCATACAAAAACAATTATTGCACTTAGTTCTGCACAGAAAATAATACCTTTTCTCATAGCAATGTGAACTGCTATAGATGCTACATCTATACTACCATCTTCTTTAAGCTGAAAACTGTAAACGGCTTCTTTTGTGCTAGAGCTACAAAAGTATTATAATGCATTTATTTAAAAAAATATTTAGAGTAAGTTTATCTCCAACTAATACTAATTTCTAAGAAACTTCAAATCTTAAGAATCTTCACCTAAAAATCAGTTGGTCAGCTTGTAATTTCCCTTTTATTTTGAATTTGAAATACCAGCTAACTCTTCACAGATAGCGTTTATCCTTAAAAAAGGGGAATTGAGGAACTTTGGGATGGTTAACGAGGCCAGAGAATTAAAACAGGAGGTTATAGAGCAATGAGCCCTCCTTTCCTCAGGAGCTAAGAATTTGCCAGGCCCACTGAGGTGGCACACCCAAAGTTACCGTCACTGTCTCTAGACCTGCAAACAGCAGCTGGAAATAACTCAGTCCTTGCGTACTCTTCTTTTGCGCACTGATTTCAGCGGGCGATCTCCCATGCCTTCATCAGCTTCCTTCTGGAAAAAAATACATTCAGCATTAACAGTTCAAACTTATTGTAATTATTGAAACTGGCACACTGTGCTACTCCTCTTCCTGAATTCCCCAGTCCTTTTATCACTAAATGCAGCACTTAAGTGATGGGACATTTCTTCCACACTACTAATGTCATGATTAATAAAGAGGGTAGAAGACTTTTCATGTCTATATTCAGAAAAGAGAGCTGTAAACTGATGTCAGAAATTTGGTTCTGCCTGTGCCTTTGCTGGTTTAAAAGCCGTAACTTTTAAATTTTACCAACTCCTTAAAGAGGACTGTTTGCTAATGCTATTTCTGCTTCTGAACTAAGATGCATTTAAAACGTTTTAACTGTTCCCTTTGGAGAGCTACAAATAGAGCTACTGTGCTTAAATCAGATGTGGTGTTCCCAGTTTGAAAGCGATGGGAAGTACGATGTCAGACAATTGCAGGGAGAAAGCAGGGAAAAATGCAAACTTACCTCATCTTCTGAATCAGATTTATTTGACCTATCACCTTCTTGACTTCCATCTGGAACTTCATTTTCTTCTTCATCGGGAACTCCATTTTCTTCTTCATCATCATAAATATCTTCACCACCTTCACCTTCTGTAGAAGAACTTAATTTTACTTCATAAACAGAACTACATTACTATGATACACTACATCTAGGCACACTAGTAAAGAAAATAAGCCAATTTCAGTCCTAGAATGAACTGCTTGTTTAGAATAACCCATAAAAACATCTCTGGGATGCAGAGTAGAATTCTCATGAATTAGCAGAAATTGATAACTGCCAGATTTAACAACCACTTTTACAAATCTTAAATCTGACAGAAAGGATATTCGTTGGCATTTTGCAACTTAACAGTCTGCCAGTGGCTTATTTAAAAACAGCAGGGAAGTAGTGCTCAATTCTGTCCTTGTCAGGTCACACCTATGTCTCATAAGCATTGCTTATATGTGAAAAAAATAGGGGAAAACC